CGTGGAGACGGGTAGGATGAAAAGGGGTCTCTAGGCCCCCACACCACTCTACAGTGCTCTGACCTTCCTTTCTTCTCTAAGGAGGAAGGAAAGAGATAGACTGGGGCTCCCTGACAGCTCACATAGATGTGGTGAGGCGTTATAGAGCCTGGGTCATGGGAGACTGGTGCCACCTTAGTCAGGGGGGTATGTGCTCCCCCCAGTGACCAGTCAGCAACCCGGGGGGGAGGTCCCCCCACATCCAATCTTGCTGCTGGGGGAGGAGGTCCGCCCATGGCAAATCTTATCGGGAGAGGGGTGTCCCCCTGTGCAGCCGATCGCAAGGTGGCTGATCACTGCAGCTGCTTCCGGAAGTGGCAGCAGAGACTGGGATTGAGATTGGTGCTCCTACTTCTATAGCAGCAGCAGCAGCAGCAGCAGCAAAAGCTACTGCCACTGCAGAAGCAGGAGGACCTGTGCCACTGCTGGTGCTGCCATCATGGGAGCTGAGGCAACAGTTGGTTTCCTCATGGTGGCAGCAGCAGTGGGAACAGCCTTCTCACCTACTGGAGCTGGTGGGCATTATCAAACAAATCTTCCCCCCAACCACACTTTGTAGCACTACAGATAAATATGTGTCCATAGCTCCTACTCAGAGCTGCATCTAAAAAGATATTGTGCATCTATTCTAGAGTCTTTAAAATAAAAAACAACCTTGGCCCATGTACACATTAAATGGATCATGAAAAACCATGCACATGAAAAGCATCTGAATAAAAATATTAACAGTAAGAGGAAAAGAGGGACCCAGTTTCTCTAAACACTCATAGATAAGTTTCACTTTATCTAACTACCACCTTCCGAGAAATCTTAGCTGGTGTCAGGTGACCAGTAGGCTGTAAAAATAATTAGACTCTGTAAATTTACTGATGTATGTTAAAAAAAATCAGGAGCGGAGATAATTCTACATCTCTGCCAAGTGTTCCATGCATAGTGACAAGTGAGACTGCAAAGGGGACTGCATGATAGATGGGCCAGCCAAAAGCCTCAGCCTCACTCATAGCAGCATTTTATCACTGTGTTCTTCATGAAAGCTCTCCTTGTCAGCCATATGGGAAAGTAGTTTTTCAAATCAGAAATACATTTTTCCCCTTAAGACAACAAATTAGGGCTCTGCTGAAGGGAAAAGTACAAGAGGTGCTTGTTCTATAGTGTTCCTTCTGATTTTTCATAGTCAGGAGAGTTAGAATATGCTTTACTCTCCATGTGAATATTAGGACCTTGGTGGGGCTCTGAGAAGGTTAATCTAATGAGCACAGCATGTGACAACTTTTGTATCGAAAATCAGGCAGGGATTAGTAAACTGCTTTCCAAAATTTGAATCCAAGAGTCTTAATGAGACAAAACAGATGAGCTGTTTTTGGAAATACATTCACTGAGTGGAGCAAGCCAAATAAAATACTAACCGCTTTAGAGGATATCAATTTGCAAACTGCCATGTTCAGTTTACACAAACAACTTATCTGTATGAAAAAATGCACAGACTGTCAGACCTCTTTTCTCCAGATTACATATGGTAATGTACGTAACTATGTTAAGGACAGCTATGTTAAATTTGAACTTTCGGCAAGTGCCACATTACTCGTTTTGTCATTCTTTCTAGCCTTTATTTCTTGTGTGAATTTGAGAATTTAAAAAAAGTGTGATGTGCGCAAAAACATTATCTTCAGATGATTAAATTTTTATCTATGAAGAGGCAGTAATTGGTACTCTGTATGAAGCATCTCCTCATCACTGTAAACATGGGATTGAAAATAAGATGGCTGTTGGTGTTTGGATTAAAGACCTGTTGACTGCCATTAAGTAGAATTTATTAGGGAATGACATACCTACTTCAGAATTTGGTAGATTTTCGCTGACAAAACAGAATTCCTGAAAACTGAAATATTTCGGATTCAGTGATGCATAGCTCAGGTTTCAGTGACTCCCATTAGGTGACTGCCTCCCTTTAAGAGAAGAGACCATGGTGTACCATGGGAGATGGAGGCTGTTCAATGAACAAGTATTTCAGTCCATACGAATAATGGGAACTGTAGCTTGCAAATAAAAACAATTCTGATTTTGATGATATTAGTTCAGTTTTGGTCTATATAGTTTCATATTCAAATTTCTGCTAAATATGAGATTAGCTGAAAGAACTCAAGTTTTTATCATCAACTCCATTCAGTATATTTTAAAATCAAGAGCCTTGTTTTTGCTTTGGACAATAAAATGATCCTTTATGCTTTACAACAGTGGGGCCCAACTCCTTTTGGCAGACGTGTCACAAATTAGCCTTACACTCTCCCCAAGTGCCACTCTGAGTCCCCTCCCTAGCCCAATCAGCTGCTTTGTTTTCTGTTCCCTGCCCAATCTGCTGCTCTATTTTCTGCTCCCTGCTCAATATACCACTGTGTTGCCTGCCCTCCCCAGTCTGCTGCACACCATACACACAGGCTGCTCGTGCCACCTGTGGCATGCATGCTGCAGGTTGGCCACCCCTGCTTTGCAAGTTGTGCATGTGGATGAAGTTTTGGCCTATGCCCTGAAGAATTAACAGTGCAAGGGTCTGACTCAGGAATATCAGAACATGTAAGCATGTGTTCATCTTTAAACACATGCAAAGGTGCCAGTTAAGTCAGTGGGATTCAAGCAGCTGCTATTAGCTAAATGTGTGTATAAGTATATCTTGACTAAGGACAGATTTAAGCACATACTTTCCTGAATTGGTGCCTAAAGCCCTAATCCACCACAAGATTGAGAATACAGGTACACTTGATCCGAGCCAAAAGGCCGAGAATACACATTAATCATAAAAAAAAACAAGGCTGGAAGGGACTTTAGGAGATTATCTAGTCCAATCCTCTGCTCAAGGCAGGACCATCACAGTGCAAACCATCCCAGAAAGGGACTTGCACTGCTCAGCTAGAGCAGCCAGGTGCAAGGAGAGCTGGGGGAGGCAAAACCACCATCCTCCCCCTGGTCCCTCAGGGCACAGGGGAATTTTGCCCAGCATGCACAACTCATGAGTTATGCCTCTGGTACTTGAGGCAGTACTTGAGAGTCAGTGCTTGAGGGCCTCACAGAAGCAATTAATTTTAAAGATTAGTTTGTGAATATATACAATTTGGTCAATCCACAGTCCAGCTCTTTTTATCCTTCAATCTCAATGTGTTAAAAAATGTAAAAGCTTAACAGGATGATTAAAAGGGTTCATCCATTCTTTTTCCTCAGTGGAGCATTTTTCTTTAATACTTCATGAAAAAGACCAACGGGGTGTTTTGTACAAAAGCTCTATTTTCTTTTGCTAGAGTTCAGAGACTAGCAGTTACAATACAGAAAGAAAAAGCAGGAGATAACCTGGAATATAGTAAGTAATAAACTACAACTGACATTTGTTTCAGATAAAGCTCAGGGTATAAGAACAAGCAGGTCTCTGAATGCCTAACTTTACTGAATATGAAATATAATGGTGTATAAAATATATCTTTAAGAATATCTTCAAGTTTATTATTAAAGGGACAGAAATTTTACTTGTGCAAATGAGTGGAGTTCCACTGAGTCCAGAGGAGCTCTGCTTATTTTCATCAGTTGTAGGTATGGAAAAGTGGAATTAATAAATGCAAATTCAAATTCTTTTAGTGGT